TCCATCCCACCGGACATCTGTTGAGAAAAATAACAAAAAGAGCTTCATGGCTCATCGGATTCGTCCGAGTAATGAATACAGATTCTGGTGTTCCTCGATCAGCTACCAGAAGCTCAGGCCAACAGTTAGCCGGATTGATTTAATCCTGCTATTTATACTGTGTGTACATATACTGTGTGTTATTTTAATATTGGATATACAATACATACACGGCAAGTGCTCCATTAACGCGTGGAATTCACACGATAAGGGAGTTCACACGATAAGGGAGTTCACACGATGACGCGTTTTTGCCATCAAACGATTTTTTTTTTTACATTCGGGAACACTTTTCGCACTAAGCGGAATGCGCTCCCATTATAACGCAGAACGCAACCCCGCTATAACGTGGAACGCTTCTCCGTTATAACGTGGAACACAACCCCGCTATAACGTAGAACACAACCTCGCTATAACGCAGAACGCAACCCCGCTATAACGTGGAACGCTTCCCCGTTATAACGTAGAACACAACCCCGCTATAACGTAGAACGCTTCCCCGTTATAACGTAGAACACAACCCCGCTATAACGTAGAATGCTTCCCCGTTATAACGCAGAACACAACCCCGTTATAACGTGGAACGCTTCCCCGTTATAACGTGGAACGCTTCCCCGTTATAACGTGGAACGCTTCCCCGTTATAACGTGGAACGCTTCCCCGTTATAACGTGGAACGCTTCCCCGTTATAACGTGGAACACTTCCCCGTTATAACGTGGAATGCACCCCCGTTATAACGCAAAACACAACCCCGCTATAACGTGGAACGCTTCCCCGTTATAACGTGGAACGCTTCCCCGTTATAACGCAAAACGCTTCCCCGTTATAACGCGGAACGCTTCCCCACTATAACGTGGAACGCATCCCCGTTATAACGTGGAACGCATCCCCGTTATAACGCGAAACGCGCTCCTGTTATAACGCAGAACGCGAGCACCGTTATAAACGCGGTTTCTGAGCGGTGCCCTCGTGTGCCACGTTGCTGAGCTATCTTGTGCGGCCAGGTAGTTCCTGACAACAACACAAGGAAGCTACATGACTCAGTCGGTGCCTTACCTGGTCAAATAAAATCGGTGAATAGCGGTGACACGGGAGGAGGCACCCGGGAGTACGAACACGCTGAACCCAACCGATGCGTGGATGACTGCGAGACATTGTGGGTTTGTGGTGAAGCGAGGGTTAAATGATGTGAGTGGTGGTGGGGGGGGGGGGGGTGATAGTGGTTAGGGAGGGTGGCTCTATTTGGCAAGAGCTTTTTACCCCAAACCCACCCCACCCGCCACATGTGGAGTGGTGGGGTGGGTGGGGTGGGGGACTTTATTTTGCATGAAACACACACGGGGTCACGGGCTCTAGGCCATGCGATGAATGAATTCCATCGAAGACCTAACGCGTCTCCTCCATCATCATCAGCGGCACCGTCAGCTTGCGCAGAATTACGACGTTGGGAAGCAACCATCGACACCGTGATAACAGAACAAAGCCAGCAGTGAATAGCAATGATTCATCTTCTTGGTTCTTTCGGTGAAGTCACGTAGAATGGAAATAATAAAAGAATAAAAATAAAACACAATAAAATAATTCTCACGACGTTTCGGCCACAACGCAAGCAGCCGTCCTCAGGTGAAGAACAGGTCTGTCTGAAGAACAGGTCTGTCGGAAAAGACAGAGTCTGAATGAGACAGACCTGTTCTTCACCTGAGAACGGCTGCTTGTGTTGTTGTGGCCGAAACGTCGTGAGAAATATTTTATCATCTTTTATTTTTATTATTTTAATATTTCTATTCTACGTGACTTTACCGAAAGAACCAAGAAGATGAATCCCTGCAGTCACGAAAGCTTTAAATCGAAATTTAACAATGATTCTTCTTATTATTCCGAGTATCGTTATCGTCATCATTTTAGTGATTCATCCTGCCACGCCGCGTCGTGTGACTCATTTTCAAGAGGGTCCTGCCGCCGTGTTGCTGGGATTATATTTTGTCGAAGACAGGGTTGTCGGAAACCAATATAATAAGGAGAGCCATGTCATTATTTTAGTTCGAATTCGGTTTAACAACAACAACAACAACAAATTCTCAACTCAAGTCGAGAATTGAAACAATGCGATTAGGAAATCGCAAAGGCTGCGATTTTTTTGCGATTTGAAAAGACCTATTACTTTCTAATTGGTATTGTTTTACTATTTTATTATTATTATTATGACTTTATTTATTTAACTTAACACTTGTTCTATGTTTGTTTGTTCTATTTAAATTAAAACATTTTAATAAATACATGTTTGAAGCAATTAATATATTTTAAGTTATCATTCTTGCATTAGAATATATAGAGCAGTTCATATTTTTATTGTATCACGTGGTAATGCTCCATCACGTGCTTTAAATCTACTACACACTGAATATTGAACTGGAGCTCGACTTTTATATTCTTGGTTCTTTCGATAAAGTCACGTGGCTTTCACACCTGATGATGATTGCTTGTGTTGCAATCGAAACGTCGTGAGGATTTTTTTTTTTTTTATTTTATTATTTCCCTTCTACGTGACTTTACCGACAGAACCAATAATATGAATCCCTGCGTTTACGAAAGCTTTAAATTAAATCAAAATGTTTTCCCCAAAATCTTCGTGCGTCTCCACAACGCCACGTGATCGCGCCCTCTGGCGACGAACACGTGGGTACTACGTCATCTCGGCCACGTGCGGGCGGGGGTCACTTCAAGTTTCGTTTATTTCATTTAAATTTCATTTGGAAGGGCACTTCAAGTTTCATTTATTTCATTCAAGTTTCATGTATTAGGTGTTGCCCTGTGAGCCATGCGGCTCTTGAGTCGGGTGCAACCGCAACAAACTAAATATAAACGGAGAACATCTTAAATCAACATAATAAAATAAGTTATTTGTTTTGTTCACGATTTGTTTACCTGACCTAGACTTTGCCACCCTACCGTGCTTATAGTATTGTTTGTTGTTAAATCCTTTATATTAAGCTCGCTTGCTTGCTTGCTTGCGTGCTTGCTTGCTTGCTTACGACCGTGCAAATCTTTTGGTCGTTTTTTAACCCACTTCCCGTGATCCAATCGAGCTGACATTTTGCACACAGACTCGTTGTGCGTGACAATAAATTTTCGTGAAAATTTTTTTCCCAAAATTTTACACTGTTTAGGGAATAAAAAAAAAATGTAATTACCAATTGCTTAATGCTGGTAGACAATCATCTGACCCATAGGTGGCAGCCATCTCAAGCCAGAGGACGAGAGGCCACGCATATAAAGGATTTATAATGAAAAACTTTGTTTTTACGGGTTAATGTATGGTAACTGTCTGACTCGGCCCTGCTGGGCATCTGTGTAGAAAAACTTTGCAGCTCAGGGGCCGTCCATAAATGACGTCACGCACCTAAGGGGGGGGGGGTGGGTCAGACATTTGTGACGATGTGTGACGAGGGGGTTGAGAAATGTGACGTCACATCAAAATGCGCAACTTTAAAAAAATATAGACAACACGTTCTACTTAATTAAATAGACTTTTTAATAAATATTCTTGGTTCTTTCGGTAAAGTCACATAGAAGGGAAATAATAAAATAATAATTAAACTATATGAAACAGTAATGTTTTATATATTTGTATTTTATTATTATTAGAAATATAAAACAATATTGTTTTATATTTATTATAATTTTATTATTATGAAAAATATAAAACAATATTGTTTTTTCTTTTATTATTTCCCTTCTACGTGACTTTACCGAAATAACCAAGAATATGAATTCCTACGGTCACGAAAGCTTTAAACCAGCATTTTAAATAAATGTTTTCTCCTACAACATCAGAGTGCAGCGCCACATTAAATTCGCACTACAATGTCAATAGTTTAAAGCGATTTGAAGCAAGTTTAATTTTTTTGATTGGGGGGGGCAGAGCTTTGTGACGTCATATTTGAGGGGGGGGGTCTGTGACGACGGGGGGGGGTCAAAAATCGTTCAAAATCGCGTGACGTCATTTATGGCCGACCCCTCATCAGATTCCTCCATCTGCACAGCATTAATACCGTCCTCCATTCTAAACTAGGAAATCTAATTGTGACGTCATCGCGCAGCGTGGCCTGGTCACGTGCACCTGAAAATAACGTTGCGTCGACGTCACGCGTAGGACGTGGTGACGTCAGCGCGCTGTTCGAGTTTGGCGCGCCTTGATTGGTTGCTTGGTCACGTGCTTTAATGCGGGGTCTGGGGGGGCTGAGGGGAGGGGCTCGCGCTCGCCCACTCCAAAGACAAAGATCCCCCGTGTAGCCTTAGCGGACTGCTGGGGCAAGTGCTGTTAGCGAGCACCTATGAAGGCTGGCACGGCACACGAGGGGGGGTGGGTGGCCAGCATCCACGCCCGGCCGCCTTTGTCTCCCCAGTGGCGATGTTTACTACACACCCCACCGGGTACTCATTTGAGGCTGAGTCGACCTAGGGGCAGACCACCAGGACCGGCTCCAAGATAATCGCCACCGGTCTTGGTGACCTCGAGCGGGGAATCGAACTCGGTCCGCAAGGGTTATCGGTCGCGCAGCAGCGCGCTAACCGCTGCACCACCGCTCCTTCACCCCCCCCCTCTCCAAACCGTCAAATATCGTTACCACGTGACCCAAACATTCCAGCGCGAGACGTCACGACTGTGGGGTGATGGAAAGGGGCGGGGCATATGGGGGATGGAGAGGGGCGGGGTTGGAAGATGAAAGGGGCGGGGTTAAATAGGGGGCGTGGTTTGATGAGAAGGGGCGGAGTCAGAAGCGGCCCGGGATTGGAGGATGAGGGGGTCTTGAAATAGAGGGGCGTGGTTTTGCTGTAAAGGGGGCGTGGTTTGAGAGTGAGGGGGCGGGGTCTTGAGATAAAGAAGGCGGGGTTAAATAGGGGGCGTGGTTTTGAGGCGAAGGGGGCGTGGTTTGCAAAGCAAGGGGCGTGGCGATGGGCGGGGCGAGTGGCGAGGGGCGGGGCCAGCTTCATCAGCCCACGTCACTCGCTGCGTGCCACACAAACTGAGTCCGTGTCGGGTTGAGCTCTGTGCGTCTTCTCCCAACATCGTGTGGATCCGACGGAAAGATTCAAGTGCTTTAAACAATTACAGGTGACAATAAAGCGAACAACATTCTATCCCGAGCGCATTAAAAGCGTCGTTATGTTGCCTTTGTTTCGTTTCGTTTAAAAGAAGATTGTTAATTGCGTCATAGATGGGGGGGGGGGGGGGCCTACTGTGTTCAGGCGACATCCGCGCTCTGTTTGAGGCCTTGTGGCCCGTTTGTTAAATTATCGATTCGCATTTAGAACGCCGAATCGCATTGACAGAGGGAGCAAAGCGTCGCGTTAAACGATCGTTAAAGGTACAAATTGTTTAATGCGCGGTGTTTGAAAGGTTTTTATGTTTTTATTAAAAAAATATTTTAAAAAGACGGTGTTTGGGCAATGATCGCCCCTCCGTCGGCGGCCATTGCCAGCGAGTGGCTAATGGAGGTCTCTTGTTGTTGTTGTTGTTGTTGATTTTAATGGTGGTGGTTTGTTGTTGTTGTTTTGCCTCAGGACAAACACGCCATGGATACCTTGTTGGGAGATCGTCGCTTCAACGCGCGCACCCTGTTCGACTTCAGCTGCCTGTGAGGCGTTTCCCCGGGACCGTCTTTGTCTTCCCTCGTTTTCTTTTGGGGGGGGGTTGGGCATTGACACCTCACAACCATCATCAACATCATCATCGTCGTCGTCATATCATTACACTCCTTTCACACACCGACTTCTGAGCATATTAGGAATTGTAGACGCTTAACCCCCCTCCCTCCACGCTCGCACATCTTTCACTTCTGCTGTGCAGTGTCTGATTAGCAATCCCAAAACTGTCAACCCCTTATCAGTGCCCTACCTTATTACAGACCCATTCACGACCTAATTGGTCACCCCGAGCCCCTCACAAATCTCAACGTTCATCCTACAAACTCCCATCACAAGGGAGAAACGTAAATAGGCAAAAAAAAACATTTTTGTTGCAGGAATTGAAACGGCTGTAAAAACCGCATGGACCTGAAAACTCAATTTCCATGTACAGTAGAACCTTGGAACCTTGGATTGCGAGCATAATTCGTTCCGGAAACGTGTTTGTAATCCAAAGCACTCGTATATCAAAGCACTCGTATATCAAAGCACTCGTATATCAGTTGTGATCACGTGACGCTCGGCAGACAAAGCGTATACACGTACTACTCGTGTTGCAAGACCTCGCTCGTTTATCAAAATAATATTTATTTAAAAAATTTGCTCGTCTTGCAAAGCACTCGCAGGCCAAGTTACTCGCAATCCAAGGTTTTACTGTACACGAATACGGAGTAAACCGTATGGGTTGACAGGTATGTAGTAGTGTAGTGTATAGTAGTGTAGTGTATAGTGTAGTGTAAAGTAGTTTAGTGTATAGTAGTGTATAGTGTAGTGTTTAGTAGCAGACCTGTTAACCCCTTATCAGTACCCTACCTTATTACTGACCAATTCAGACCTTATTGATCACCCCGTGCCCTTACAAATCTCAACATTCATCCTACAAAGTCCCGTATTTAAACGGTTGTACACGTCGTATGGACCTGAAAACTCAATTTCCCTGTACAAGAATACGGGGTAAACCGTGATGGCTTGACACGGTATGCAATCCACACACCAGTTTGGCTACGTACGGTGCGAAAGAAGTTCGACATACAACCAACCACGACCATCTCTCACCATCGCCACCACTTAATCGCCACGCATCCTTCTATAGCCTTGGGATAACCACATTTGCAAACCCACATAATAATACATTTCTATCTCATTCACGACTTTTACCATAATCGCCACATTGCAATACTGCCTTCAACTCGGTTATCTGCATTTGTAATGATAATTGTTTTTTTACCCTTCTATCTGGCAACAAAACTGACACCTTTTTACAAGGAGTCATGTTTGCATAGACCGCAATACCTGCAGTCATAATACAAACAAAAGACATAACTCTGATAATGTGCACTGTCCTTGAAGTTGATTGGTCCACACCCGAGACAGCTTTCCTTAGAGCCTAGTCTCACATGGGTTGGACCAAATGACGCCAAAAGGTCCAACCCATGTGAGACTAGGCTCTAAGGAAAGCTGTCTCGGGTGTGGACCAATCAACTTCAAGGACAGTGCATACATTATCAGAGTTATGTCTTTTGTTTGTATTATGACTGCAGGTATTGCGGTCTATGCAAACATGACTCCTTGTAAAAAGGTGTCAGTTTTGTTGCCAGATAGAAGGGTAAAAAAACAATTATATTTTTAATGGCAAATGAGGTTCCCATAGTGCATTTGTAATGTTTAGAACTGCTTTTTGTGTGTTTTAGTTTGTTGTCCTTCCCCTTCACCTCCGATTAGCATGTTTGGCTACGTACGGTGCGAAATAACTTGAACATACTACATCTATTTTTATTTTACCAGGTAAGGCCCACTGGGCTGCTATATAATGTAGCTCTTATAGTAGTAGGTTTTTACCCTTTTAAACTGGTACAAAACTGACACCTTTATTCAAGGCATCATGTTTGCAATAACCACAACACACCTTCTGGTGTCATCTGGTCCAACACCAATGGGGACTAGGCTCTAAAGAAAGCCGTCTCGGGTGTGGACCAATCAACTTCAAGGACAGTGCATATTATTATCATCATCAGAGTTGTTTCTTTTTGTTTGCATTTTGACTGCATGTGTTGTGGTTATTGCAAACATGATGCCTTGTATAAAGGTGTCAGTTTTTGTACCAGTTGAAAGGGTAAAAACCTACTACTATATTTTGCCACTGGTAAAAGAGACCTCATAGTGTAAATGTAGCTCTTTTTCAGACGCGACCTGAATAACCTGCGATAGCTCAACGAATTGGCTTAACATGTGGAAATGTAAAGCAGCCAAAAACTCTTCAACACGTGCTGTTGATTCTAAATGTGGTGGGGGTGGAAAACCGAAAGAACCCGAAGAAAAATCAACACGAACTCAGGAAGAGAGAGACACGCAAACTCAAAATATACAGCAGGTGTCGGGTTCACGACCTCCTGTATACCAGTTGACATATCGCCTCGTGGCGCCCCCGGATGTAGCATAGAAGTCATGTACAACACTTACGGTAACACCAATCTACCATTGAGCCTGGAAAACGATATTCGTCGGTGGAAAGTGAAACTCAGCTCCCGTGTACCTCCTTGATTTCCTTAAACTCGCCCGTCTGTTTCAACCGCAGCTGCTCTCACTTCCACATTTATTTCCTTCAACCCACCCACCACCAACCCTCAGCTTTCACATCCCTCTTGAGCTCAACACTCTGAAATGCATTTTTTTTTACCTCGCCTCTCTCGGCGCCTTTACCATACCATTGGAACCTCATTTGCCAGAAGAAAAAAATATGATAATTGGTTTTTTACCCCTTTTATCTGGCAACAAAACTGACACCTTTTTTTTACAAGGAGTCATGTTTGCTTAGACCACAATACCTGCAGTCATAATGCAAACAAAAAACATAACTCTGATAATGTATGCACTGTCCTTGAAGTTGATTGGTCCACACCCAAGACAGCTTTTCTTAGAGCCTAGTCTCACATGGTGTTGGACCAGATGGCGCCAAAAGGCGCACAACTCAAAGACAATGCACCATCAGAGTATGAGAGCTCGGGGTAAGCATTTACACCATTGGAACCTCATTTGCTAGAAGAGAAAAAAAATATGATAATTGTTTTTTTACCCTTTTATCTGGCAACAAAGCTGACACCTTTTTTACAAGGAGTCATGTTTGCATCGACCACAATACCATACTTACCATACTTAACCTTTCGCCCTCCCACCATTCTTAACCTTTCGCCCTCCCACCACCTTGATGTCACCAAACCTTGCTTCCACTGCCATTCTACCCTCATCGACCTCAATTTCGCCACCTGTACCGGCTGTCAAGCTCCCACTCGACTCCTCACCACCTTCACCACTCGCCACCCTCACCACGGTGGCTAGGAAGATGCGTTATCTACATTGTCTGGCATGCAGGAGGTCCTGGGTTCGATTCCGACCCTGACGCTAGCTGTATATTTGGAGTTTGCGTGTCTCTCTCCCCGGGGTTGCGTGTATTTTTCTCCAGGTCCTCCGGTTTTCCCCTCCACATTTAGAATCAACAACACGTGTTTAGGGTATTTGGATGCTATACATTTCCACGTGAAAAGCCGTTTTATTGAGCTATCATTTGTGGCCAGGTCGCTTCTGAAAAATAAGTTAGCACCTCTGTGCTTTATCTGGTAAGATACAAATAGTTAATTTTGTATTTTTTAGTGATTTGTTTACCTTTCCTATACTTAGCACTCCTATCGTGTTTTGTTATTGTTTTTGTAACGTCATGAACCCATTGCCCCTACTGGACATTTGTGAAAAAGAGCTTAATAGCTCATCGGATTCCTCCTCCAGTATAAAGAAAGATTCCGTACCCAAGCCAGAGTGATTTCCTGCTAAAATGAACATTTGAGGTGGTGCGCATCTCTTTACAACCCCACCAAAAGCCAGTGGTGGAAATTCCACATTGCAAACCACTTTTGGCTTCTCCCATAATGCAGTACAGCAAATCCCTTTTATAGAACCTAACCCTGCAGAGATATATGATGGGCTTGAGTCAACCCCACACCAGGATTATGAACTTCAATTTGCCCGCTCTGCCACTGAAACCAACCTGGCCAAGTTTTTAATGGATAAAAACGACACCGCTTGAACGGCACTACCGTTATCATCACTTCTGTTTAGTGTTCCCCTCCCCTGTATGCAAAGCTGAGCCATTGAGCCCATTCACGCCGCGATTAAGTACAAGTAATAAGCGATTTCACCTTTTAAGTAAACATCCCCTCGGAGAGTTTGTGAACGCGCCAACGCTGACGAACCACCATTAACGTGGCTCCGTTTGCCACGAAGCTTGATGTTGGGGCCAGTTTCAGTTTGAAAGGGTTTACTTCTGCAAATAAGTTCATGGCAGCTGGAATGTCATGTAATGGACACTGCAGTGTGCCAGGTTTTTTTTATATTTGGACGTGGTGCGAAATGGGAATGGGGAGTGTGTATTTATACTGGAGGAATCCGATGAGCTATGAAGCTTTTTTTTAATCACGGATGTCCAGGAGGTTTTGGTCTAGATGGAACCGTGGTGGCTTGCAATCGGTTCAAGTTCATTTATTAGGTATAGCCCTGTGAGCCATTCGGCTCTTGAATCGGGTGCAACCGGTTAGGGGGGTTGACTCGGAGATATAGTGGATGTTCAGGATCACCCGACATCACTTTCCAGAGGTAGTGCCAGTGTCAAGAGTGCAACTTAACGCATATTTGTAGGTTTTCGCGACCAATATCCATAGAAATGCTTTTTTTTGGGTTAGATCGCATAAATATAAATGTGTCGTCAAACCCGCCACCACCCAACAGAAAATTGGTAAGGTTTTTCAGGTAAACAAAACGTGCCAAACACATTCCTGCGGAGGGAGCTGGTAGGAACGTTGGGTTGCTCGGTCAATAGCCAGGGTCAACGGCGGCGTGGTGTATTCCGCAAATATGGCCGACTGTGAGGGCGGGCACAAGCCGGCGTGAGTAGGTTAAACGT